TCTCCCTTATTTTATATATTTTTAAAATATTATTTATGTTGTATGTGTATACATGTGTACATTCATGTGCATGTGGGTATGAATGTGTCACAGGTCAAAGGACAATCTGAGAAAATTGGTTACCTCCTTGTACAATATAGGTTCCAGAGATCAAATATGGGATTAGGGTTGGCAGCAATTGCCATCACACGATGAAACACCTCCATATCCCTATATAATTTTTAAAACATACATTTAAGGGGCTTGAGAAATGGCTCAGTGGTTAAAAGTACTGGCTGCTATTCCAGAGGACCTGGGTTCATTTCCCAGCACCCACATGGCAGCTCACAATTGTCTCTAGCTCTAGTTCAGGGGATCTGACACCTTCATACTAACACACATAAAACAGAGTCAAATAAAGTATAAAAAACAAGGATATGTTTAAATCTCTATTACTAGGCTTGCCATTCCCAGATGTCTCGTATAGAGTTTGGTATATATTTAGGGTATAATAGGAACTTATTAAATGTATTTGTAGATGAGTAAGTGCATGGAGAGATGAAGTCACATCAGTGAATTGAAAAATACACAAAGACCCATGTCATAATTTGTATTTCAGCATTGCAATCATTTTCTCACGTCTAGGATATCTGAAATGGAAGGAGCAATGTTGTACTTCTCTTGAAGGTGGTGAATGATGAGGTAGTTGGCATAAGGACTACCTTGAACATTGGAAATTACTGTTTATTGTGGCATCAGACTATTGTCAGGGTTCTCTGAACTATTTTCTTAACTACAGAACTCATGGACATTGTTGAATTTGCATATGTGTTACGATTTTGTCTTTATAGGCAATATTCAATCTCCTAGGAGTAAAGAAACTTCTCATTTAAACTTTTTGCTTGCTTGTTTATTGAGAATGTTCACACTATATAGTCCTAGCTGACCTGCAGCTTACTATGTAGCAAACTAGCCTTTAAGTCATGATATTCCTTTCTCAGCCTCAAGAACACTGGGATAACAGGCTTAAATAACCTTTTAAATAAATGTACACTTTTTCAAATCTCACATGCTCTGAGTCCACATTGTCCTTCTTTTCCTGTGGGTGGTAGCTGCTACCTCAAATTTCTGTACAGCCTACAAAATAAAATGGTTCATGGCAAGGGATATTTAGGTTCGTGATATTTACTACATACTGAGAACTTATGAGTCTTAGGAAAAAAAGAAATAATAGTTGTCCAGGGCAATGAGAGGAAAGATGGAACATGAGCAAAGAAAAAGGCCAGGAAAGAAGATGGCAGGAAGGTTGGTTGTCTCTTTCCATTTTGGAAAATGGAAGTGTTTCTTGGGAATTACAAAATAAAGTGAGAGATGCCTGTGCATTTATCTGAATTATGTACTATATAAAAGTCAGCATCAATTCACTGAAGGCAAGGTCCTTATCCAGGCTGTTAAGTGTTTTCTTAAAAGAACAAATGGGTACAGCATGTAAATTCTTTAAGCAATTCTTGATATACAATTTTCAAAAGCAGCCAGATATTAATCAAGAACAAAGAAAGACATATATTTTTCCACGGATGGACATTTAAGAGCCTGAAAGGTTATCCTGAGAACTCATCACCTGTGGGATTAACAAATACCAATTAGTTTCTAAGGAAGGGGATAGGAAGGTAGGCATGGAAACTCAAAGAAAAGGCTATATATACTAACTGTTTCTTAATTTAACAGAAAATGGAAGATCATCAGCAAATGGAACACTATAGACACAGCCATGCTAGAGATCATAAGATGTTGAGACCAAACATATATCAGTTGTAGAGTGTCATATTCTCCAAGAATTCAAAACATCTACTTTATCCTCCACTCCTTCAACTATCTATTCATCGAATATGGTTTTGGCATATACCTTACATAGCTGTGAATAGGGGTAGCTAAAATTATTGTGCAAATCAATCTCTTGTATTAGTACTTCTATGAGCAGGTGACTGGCAATTAAGACATTAATAATCTTATGATCTTTTTTTCATGGCTTTTGACATCAAATCACAAAATTTTAACAACAGAAGGATTCTTGGTAAATCTGATCATCCCAGTTTCATGATGGCAAAAAAAATATAGCCTCTGGGAGGCAGAAATTACTTGCCCAAGACTATATTCTGAACTGCTACTTTATTATATATTATATAATTGTAGTGTGAGTGATAAAGAAAAGGAATCAAAATTATCTAAATTCTTCTTAAAGGTGACAAAAAGTCTATGCTAAACCCAAATCTTATGAAAATGAGAGGATACCACCAATATATTCACAAAAATCACTATGTGCTGATGCTTTCTTTTATCTTACCATTGTTTGAATAAAATGTGTTATATACTGATACTGTAAGTTAACAATAAACATTGGAAGAATTATGTTGAAAAGCAGAGGATGTGGTGATAACTCCAGCAACGTGCAAAGGTTTATATTTTAAGCCTAAGAGAATAAAAACTTTGGTTTTCGCTGACTTGGTACTTTAATATCACCATAAACTTTTTATAATTAAAATTACTGAAATCAGACTTTAAGCATTATGCTTGTAGCACCTTTCAGTGTGAGGTAATCAGAAGCATATTTTTGTGAGCTGCTGACTGTTGTTACATATCACATACTGCATGGCAAGCCAAGCTATTTATTAAGGAGAAAGTCATTGAAAAGTGCTAAGAACAGCTTGTGTCTACCTAATATGCTAGGAACCTCATTGTAATATAAGTCCTCACATTTGTCTAGCACTTTCTCAAAGATGCTCTTATTCATCTTTTTATTTTCTTCTAACTGCAACTCTGAGGATGATATCTAGAAATTACAAATAATGAAAATGAAGTTCACAGGGACATGGAGTAAAGAATAGATCTGGACTTTTAACCTAGGTCTGTCTGACTTCAGAAGTAATCAATAATCCTTCTATGAGTTGACTGGGCATCTATCTTTGGCATCTATCTCTGTGGTATAATACTTGCCTAAAATGCCCAAGGCTCTAGGTTCAATTCCCTGCATAGTAAAAGGAAAGAAAAACAAAACAAAACAAAATAAAAGAATCATTGTATTTTGTGGGCATCTATCTTCTAGTTTTCTTGAAGTTTGTTAGTTTGAACCTCTAGTGCCCAATGTGCTGTCTTGTTTGTATGGGAAGGAAAATGAGGTGAAAACTGTCCCTAGCAATTCAGGATTGTATTCCCCATGTCTACTCTACCACATTTTCTAGTAAATCAATCAGATAGCTTTTTGTCTTACTCTTTCAGCGACTGAATTCACAAAGCTATATCAGTGCTACACTGTTCAATTAAAATCTTAGTCATATGTATATTTCTCTTCCAAAGAGGTTCACTGTGATAATGTCAGAAGAACTATTTTTTCTCTTAATGGAGGATATGGACTCTGATATGAAACTAATATCTTAACAAGGAGTATCTTATAATTAAATTTTACTTGTACCAAAATGAGCTTACAGTTACTTTCAAAAGATGGCAAGGAAGAGGATCCTCAATCTAGAAGCCACTGTATATTATGCATAATTCACAGAATGTTAAATGATTGAGATACGAGTGTATCAGAACATTTGCTCAGGACTTGGAACATTCATGTAGGAAAACTTTTCCTTTCAATCCTTCCCTCTGGTGCCTCTCCTGGATTTCTTTCTACTTCATCCCCATGGTCTTGAGGCTTCTTCCCCACTGAATATCACAACTATAGGATATCCTTAGCAAGACAAGTAAAAACAAGGTTGGATTGTCAAATATCTGATTCTCATTTGATATAGTTGCCTAGAAAATAACTCAGAGGGCATCTACTCTGGTGCCTGAGAGTACTACAGTTACTTGAGATGCTCCTGCTGGAATTTTCACAGATCAAGCCTGAAACAATTTGCTTACAGTATTATGATCTGGTAAAAAGTACGAACTGGTCCGTGAAGAGGGGAGGATGTAGTTATCACAATGATATATTGGCAGAGAAGGCATTGAGTGCCTTATGGGAAGCCAGAGATAACAATTGTTGTAAATTAGCCCTGAGATGAGAGAAAAGTGGGCTGAATTCCAGTCATTTGGGTTTTTCCAATTGTTACTGAATAATTGAATAAAGATTATAGTTTTTGGTACTCAGAAATACATTTGTTTTTCTTTGAGTTCCATTTCTAAATCAAAGTAGACTCATGAGCTGCTTTTTCTCACGAAGGATGCATCTGTTTGGAAGCAGCAGGCAGCCGCGTGAATTCTGGCATGAGGCAGATGAAGATATGAAGAATTAGAAGAGGGGGAAACATGTGTCATTCAAGCAGTAGGAAGCCATTTCAGAAGGTTGACAGAGCTCATGGTAGACACACGTTCATGGAACACAGAGACTTCAATAGAGGGTCACCCTTGGAAGGGTTATATCTTCTAAGAAGCTACTGTGCCATTGGAAAAATGCTTTTGGAAACAATCAATGGATTTGTAAAGAAAAGGAAATGATTAAAGGCCTGCTGATTTCTGGGAGACACGGGATAGGAAATTGGCTCTGTTTGGTGCCTTAGACACAGAGTCCAAAGAGAAGCAGCTTTACACTCCAGTTGGCTGTCTCTACAGAACATGCAGCAGTTAGGTGAGGGGTAGTCCCAGGTGTTCACAGCCTGCCTGTGCCCTACTCATCCTGCACCTGTGACAGTTTTTATTACTTGGTTCTCTCGTCCTTACCACTGAACAGCTTTGGGCCAGTATCAATAGACCACCGGAGGAACTGAATCCAAAAAACATACCCTCATTCATTTTCCGTTAGTTTCGGATCCTTACTTCATGCCTCCTGATCCTAAGCAAAACTCCAAAGATATGAATGTCATAGGTTAAAATGAAGAAGGCACCATGAGAAAGTCAGCCTGAGTCGTGTGCCTATATGGCACTCTCTGAAGCATTGCAGAGGAGAATTGCGTCTAGTGCAATAATTATAAGGGAGGGAGGCAAGCTGAAGGAGAAAAACAAAGAACAAGGGGGAAAAAAGAAGAAAATATTCTTACCTCCCAGAGTCATCCCTGCTTCATAACATTTTCGGAGTCGACAAGATGGACAATTTTTCCTCCGAAATTTATCGATGGTACAATCATTTCTGCTGGCACACAGATATTTCTGCTTCCCTGGGAGAAATATGCAATAGTAGACAGGTTATTGCATCTCCAGAGCTTCTTTCCTTGAGTATCTCTAGGCAAAAGGATAGTAATATATACTACAAATTGAGAGACAATGGCCCCAAACAATTTGATCACTCAGAATCGAACCATTTAAAGGAGGTGATTTAAGCCGGGCGGTGGTGGTGCACGCCTTTAATCCCAGCACTCGGGAGGCAGAGGCAGGCGGATCTCTGTGAGTTCGAGGCCAGCCTGGTCTACAAGAGCTAGTTCCAGGACAGGAACCAAAAAAGCTACGGAGAATCCCTGTCTCGAAAAATCCAAAAAAAAAAAAAAAAAAAAAGGTGATTTAATGCTGTGCTATGTTGCTTGTTTTTCATAGATGTTTTAGTAGATATTAGCAATTCAGATCCCGCTAATACTTCCATTATTATGACTATTTGCTAATTTTGAATACAAGATGTTTCACTTGACTAAAAGCCAAGAATACCCTTGAGAAATTGACCAGTTGTGAAAATTATCACTCTTTTAGCTTGGCACAGAACAGATGTTGGCTTAGTCAATACATCCTCCTACTGACACCTGTAATCATGCACAGATTCATACTTTAGCTAATTAGATGCTTTAAAAAAGACAGTACATCATTTTGCTATGTGATACCTAACTGTTTTTACATTGCCAGTGATGGCACTCTGAAGCCTGTAGGTTGAAAAAGCCAGAAATAAAATCCACAGTTTGTGTGATAAATTACAGCAAGCAAAAGAAAGTCTTCTTAAGTCAGTAAAGGAAACAAAAGCACAAGCAGGTACAATTTGAGTCCTCATAGATGGACATAGAAACTAACTATTTTTAAGGTAAGAGTTACTCAAAGGAAGATGTGGTCCAAAGATATGTGCTTTGCTTCTTATTTGGCTTTTGTTACAGTGCTCCCAGAACCAATCCAACACATAGTAGGCCCTTGATAAATGTGTATGTATGCAGAACATAAAGATGCGTAAGTAAACAGAGTCACCATAGAAATAGTTCAAAATATATCCTCAAGTACATTGTAGATTAGGGATAAAACAAGATGGAAGAAAATAGTCTTTTAAAAGTCTATTATTTCCTTATTATTTAATCTGTTTTATTATATGACTGAAAATTTCAGGGTTCTATATCAGAATAATGATATGTATATTATATTTGATTTGTTTACAAGTTTAGTAATAATCTTGAGCAAAGTACATGTACAGGAATTGTCATATACCCCTATCTATGATAAAAAAAATAAGGGTCATTATGATGAAACATGTTCTACCTTTCAACATTACGTTTAACAGTAGTAGGTAATGTGCATCCTTGTCTTTTTACTAGACCACAAGTATGATATTCATTATAGACTCACATATGACCTTTAATTTGTGATAAGGGAACATTTATCTACTTCATTCAGAGTATTTATTGTAAGATAAATTCTGTCAAATGTTTATCTTTTCTGAAATGATTGTATAATTTTTTTTCATTCTGTTGATGCGGTGAGTTGTATTTATTCATTTATATATATGAACCATCCTTGAATCCCAGTAATAAATCATTTTGGATCATAATGGATAATTTTTAATGTGATTCTAAATTGAGTTTTATAGTGTGTGCTAAAAGTGTTCTTCTATCTATGTTCTTCAAGACTATTGACCTGTGTGGAATTACATCCTTGGTTTGTTCTAAGACTATAAACCCAATGAATGAGAAAGAATTTAAATTCTGTTTGATCACCTCAAGCTTACTCTTCTATATAAAGCCTCAATTACCTCTGACACATACTTGTAAAGTGTTTTCCCCAAATTTTCTTGAATTATGACTCAGTGTGTAATATTTCTGGACTCTCTTAAGAGATCCTTTCTTCCAGGAAATGTACTCTGTCTCTTTGTAGTACTGATCCATTAGTGATAGTAACACAAAATCTGAACTAGTAAAGATATTTAAAGCACTTCAGTAAAAGTTTTAATGGGGTTCTTAGTTCTTAAGTTATGTAATGAACATAATATATGGAGATGCACCAAGTGACAAGTTGGTGATAGAGCCAGTATAACGTTTGAAAATTGTGCACAATGGAGACGTATTGTGAAGGAGTATAGTTGGAAGAGAAAGCATTCTTAGTGTGTCAGGTATCTTTCTTCACTGTTTGTTTAAACTCAGCTTGTGTATTTTCAGTTGCCAGAGGAAATTATAAGTGGGTTCTGGGCCTGCTCCAATTTAGTTTTGGAAGGTCACACAGTTCCATGTTGTAGTCTAGGTGGCTGAACAATTAGCACAGATAATACAAATTCAGCTCCTGCTCATCAGAAACTAAACATTAAACTCCACTCTTTGATACTGTTTATTTTTCAATAATAAAATTATATCAACAACCAATTATTAAGTTCTTACCAAAAGTCATTGTGAAATTGTTGGCAAAATACAAACATTCTTTCTCATGTTAAAGCATATAAAGATACACTGTAGATCTGCAAAGAGAATCCACATTTCTTTATCACCCTCATCTATTCAAGTTTTTCCCTAAAAGTTTGGGAAATAATTGTATATATTACTTATTAATGAGACATGATGTGATGTTTTGATAAATATTTATATGATAAAAGGATTAAATTAAGGTAGTTAAATCCATTTCATTACCTGATTTTTTTTTTGCGGTAAGCATATTACAAATCTATACTTTTAGTATTTTACTCATAAGTGGTTTTTAAACATAAAGCAAAGAAATCAGCCTACAAATCACAACCTCAAAGAACTTAGACAACAATGAGGACACTAAGAGAGACTTCCATAGATTTAATCTACATGGAGAGTAGAAAAAGTCAAGATCTCCTGTTTAAATTGGGAACATGGGGACCTTGGGGGAGGGTTGAAGGGGGGGAAAGAATAGGCAGGGAGAGGAACAGGGAAAAATGTAGAGCTCAATAAAAAACAATTAAAAAAAAAAACCAAAACCCAAGAAAATGTGGAGTTTTTAATTCTGGTCACCATGCTGTGCGTTAGGTCCTTGAAGTGTATATTTTCTGGCCAAATGGAATTCTGTGCTCTGCAATCAGCGTCACTGCTTCTATGAGGCACATCTCTTCTCAGCATGGTTTACAATAGACACATCTAGTGTCCTCACTAAGCTGGACACTTTGAAAAGTTCTTCAAAGGTTATCGTGTTCTAGTTAGGATTCGTTACCAGTTTACTGCTCTTGAATTTGTAAAATCGTGTAGACAAGTTTAGGCACACAGCCTGAGCAAAAGGCAGAACTAACATAAAGAGGGTTCAGTAAGTTTAGATTTTTTTATTACTTTATTAATACTAGGAATCAAAATTTCCACTTCCTCCCCTCCTCCCACTTCCCTCCCGCTCCCCCACTCACCCTCCTTTCTCCCACTCCAGTCCTAAGAGAGGGCAGGGTACCCTGCCCTGTGGGAAGTTCAAGGCTCTCCCTCCTTGAACCAGGCTTAGGAATGTGAGCATCCAAGTAGACTAGGATCCCCAAAAGCCCAGTACTCCCATTTGGGTCTCTGTCTCTATCTCCATCTGTCGCTGGACGAAGGATCTATGGTGATATTCACATTAGTCATCAGTCTGACAACAGGACAAGGCCAGTTCAGGCACCCTCTCCTCCTAGCTGGGGACATCCCTGTGGATATCTGGGACTCCCTCTAGAGTCAAGCCTCTTGCCAACCCCACAGTGTCTCCCTTAATTATCTTCTTCCCTGCTCCCATATCTGTCCTTCCTCCATCTCAACCATTCCATTCCCCCAAGCTCTCCATAACCCTCTCCTTCTCCCTTCTCTCTCCTTGAAGAGCAGAAGGAGGGAGAATATGACCAAGGAAGTTTAGATTTTTTTTTATTAACTTCTTTTTTTTATTTTTATTTTTTTTAATTTATTTATTTATTAAGGATTTCTGCCTCGTCCCCACAACCGCTTCCCATTTCCCTCCCCCTCCCCCGATCAAGTCCCCCCCCCCCTCATCTGCTCGAAGAGCAATCAGGGTTCCCTGACCTGTGGGAAGCCCAAGGACTGCCCACCTCTATCCAGGTCTCATAAGGTGAGCATTCAAACTGCCTAGGCTCCCACAAAGCCAGTAGGTGCAGTAGGATCAAAAACCCACTGCAATTGTTCTTGAATTCTCAGTATTCCTCATTGTCCGCTATGTTCAGCTAGTCCGGATTTATCCCATGCTTTTTCAGACCTAGGCCAGCTGGCCTTGGTGAGATCCCAATAGAACATCCCCATTGTCTTAGTGTGTGGGTGCACCCCTCGTGGTCCTGAGTTCCTTGCTCGTGCTCCGTCTCCTTCTGCTCCTGATTTGGACCTTGAGATTTCTGTCCGGTGCTCCCGTGTGGGTCTCTGTCTCTGTTTCCTTTCATCGCCTGATGAAGGTTAATATTCCTGAGGATGCCTATGTGTTTGTCTTTGGATTCACCTTATTTAGCTTCTCTAGGAACATGAATTATAGGCTCAATGTCCTTTATTTATGGCTAGAAACCAAATATGAGTGAGTACATCCCATGTTCCTCTTTTTGGGTCTGGCTTACCTCACTCAGGATAGTGTTTTCTATTTCCATCCATTTGTATGCAAAATTCAAGAAGTCCTTGTTTTTTACTGCTGAGTAATACTCTAATATGTATATATTCCATACTTTCTTCATCCATTCTTCCGTTGAAGGGCATCTAGGTTGTTTCCAGGTTCTGGCTATTACAAACAATGCTGCCATGAACATAGTTGAGCATATACTTTTGTTGTATGATAGGGCCTCTCTTGGGTATATTCCCAAGAGTGGTATTGCTGGATCCAGGGGTAGGTTGATCCCGAATTTCCTGAGAAACCGAAACACTGCTTTCCAGAGTGGTTGCACAAGTTTGCATTCCCACCAGCAATGGGTGAGTGTACCCCATTCTCCACAACCTCTCCAGCAAAGGCTATCATTGGTGTTTTTTATTTTAGCCATTCTGACAGGTGTAAGGTGGTATCTTAAAGTTGTCTTGATTTGCAT